GTCTCATGGGGTTTTTTCCTTCCCTTCTCAGCCTTTCAAAAAGCCACTTCCACTAGCCTTTTCCACCTGTGCCCTTCCCTGTCAGGTCACAGGTGTGTAATAACCCACTGCTCCTGCAGATCTCACTACAGCTGCTGACATCTATGTAGGGGTGTGGGTGAGATTCTTTGGGATTCTCCACCATGAAGTGGTCTATCTGCATACAAAATATGATTTCCAGTTGACTGCATAAACCTCCTGTCCCCAAGGGGAGCAATGAGTCACTCTGTGTTAGTGCCTCCCGTCCAGCAGCTACGACACCACAAGTCTCAAATGCTTGAGCAGATCTAAGGCAAGGTCCTCCAATGACTCATATGACAATGAAAGGAAACTGTCTGATTTGATATCAGCAGAAATGTAGTCTGGGCTCACAAAGGTCCTTACAAGCTGTGTGTCACATGGAGCTGTGTTCAGCTGCAGGGAGATAGGCAACAATTACTGTACTCTTCTAGTCTGCAGAGGACTGAAATAAAACAGGGTGGAAGGGATTTGCAGGAGGCCACTGGGTCAGTCAGGCACAAAACCTAACAGACACGATTTCTAATCAAACACACTGTGCAGAGGATCCAACTGACTGAGAATTGCTGTGCTACCTGCATTCCAGGCTTCATCCCACATGTATGGAAGTCCTAACAGCTAAGATTACAAACCCCAGAAAAAAACCCAAAATCCATTACCTTAAGTCTTTTGGAAATCAGGAACTTAATTTCCTTGCAGCAGCGCCTGCCTAGGTACCAACATGTAAGATGAGGAGGTGTTGTAGCAGTTCTGCTAACACTGTCATAGCAGCTACTGCAGGTGTGGAATTGCTTGTATGTGTATATTTTGCATCTGCTTACTAGTGCTTTTCAGAGAGGGCTTGCTTTGATAGTGCTTTGGATTGTGAGATTCATAGCATGAACTTGGTGCAGTCCCCTTGCAGACCTCTTAAACTGATTTTCATACAAGTCCACAAGTGAGATTCCTCCATTTTCTGCAAATTTTTCAGAAGTTCCAGCCTGGATTCTCTTTCCATTGCTTTTTCTGGGACTACAGCTCAGGCTGATCAACACTTGACAGAGGGTTTTGAGTCCTCAGGTTACTGCTATGGCCATGGTTAGATGATTCAGGAGCAACTTCCTATCACAGCTAACCAACAACCCATGCCAGGATCCTGATTCATCATCATATCAGATGCACAAGAAAGAAGGACTGGGCTAGCCCCAGCTTAAACTGGTTTAGATGGCCAAAGCCTCACAACCATGGTAACACTAAAGTGTAAGCAGAGACACTTCTGTCTTTCTTGCTTGCCTGATTCTGCCCTCCATGATGACAGCACAAGTTTTTGAGCCATGGGACGACAATGTACATCAGAGGATAGATTCAGCTGAGAAAAACCATTCAGTGACAAAAAAAAAACCCAAAAAACAAACAAGGAAGTATTTTTTTCCAGATCCTCAAGGTGCCTTGATGTAGAGGTAGAGAAAAGAACCCCTCAGCCATCTGAGGCCACTGATGGAAGTCTACACACAATGAGCATCCAAGCCTCAAACAGAGTAGATCCCTGGAAGCCTGGGACTGCAGCACTGCTACCACAGCAGCAGCCTGGTGTCATGGAGCCTTAGCAGAGCAGTTGGAAGGTTTTGCTTGGCTTTATCAAGAGTGATTTACTCCTCTGCAGAAGGATGGCAAATCAAGTAAACTGGAACATCCTAGGCATCAACAGGAGGTTCACTGACACACACTAATTGTTACCTGCCTTCCTGCAGGTCAGATTCACTCTTTATTCATGCAGGAGCCAAAACACAGAATACAATTTGGAATCAGAAAAAATTGCTGCTCTCAGTGATATCCCAGTTTATAACTATACTTTATGGGTCTTGACTTCACAGTTACCAGGAAGAAGATTTACTCCTCACTTAAAGCTGTACTGGAGGGGAGATGATGATCAAGAAAAATCAAGGTTTAGGACTAGTGACTCTTAGGGGCAACCTAACTTTTGGAGAAGAACAAGGTAGACAGAAGTACCTCTAAATCCTAAATACCTTTAAATCACCCTTCCCAGAGCTTGGATCTCACCTGAGCAGGAATACATGCACACCCATATAAACAGGCAGTGCTTTTACCAAGATGTGTTTGCTTTATCTTTATTTTTCTCTCCAGTCAGGTGTGTCTCCTCAGGTGTCACTACACCTGAGGCTCATTTCAGCCTCAACCCTGACTAACAAGGCAGACTTATGGGCGCTCTTTCAAGGCCACAGTGAAAAAACCGAGCATTTTAAAGGAAATGCAAGAAGGTCCATACACATATTGAGTGCTTTCCCCTCTTATTTTGTAGGGATTCTCATGACCTTGCAGTGCTGTAATAGAGAAATTCATTTCACACTTGATGGTCTGGTTCTGCACAGCTCTACTCACACACCTGCACTGCAAATAAAAATGCTTAACCAGCATTTTAGTCACTAGATGAATGTTTTTCCTTTTCTGAGCTTAAACAAGGATTTAGCATGATTTACAGAGAGCAGCTGCATTTCACAGAAAAGCATTGAATACACAGAACTGCTAACAAGGAGAGGAGCCCTGTAGAGGTCTGCAGGGTTTAGTATAAGGGCAGTTACAGGCACTTTGGAGAAGACTCCTGGTGAGAAGAGGAACAGATCACAGCATGATGAAATAGGGGCAGTTCCATGTAGGGAGAAACAAGTCAGGAGACAGCCTCAGAAGCAATACCAGACTTTTACACCTGACGTGGAAAGAGCAGTGAAGAAAACTCTTACTTCAGTCCAGCAGATGACTTTAACAAAGGCTCAGCACACAAGGGAGGCCCAAACTTCTACTTTGCGGGAAGACACCCTGAGCTGGAACTTTGTTAGAACAGATCCTCCACTAGGACTACATTGCAGAAGTCAACTCTGACCCAGCATAGCAAAGAAACCAGCTCTGAACACTTACAGAAGGATTTACCTGCATGAATAAATCTGTCTGCAAAGCTGTGCAACGCCTTACCTTTCACCGTCATCTCCTTTCAAGTCAATGGAAACCAGGCAAGAGAGGTTCCTTCTCTCTCAAAAGAGAGACCTAAAGCAGCTCAGCTGAACTGTGCCCTAATATTACCTCTTCTCTCTACTGATCAAACAAGCCTGGGGCAAATTCCTCCATCACCTGCAGGTGTCTAACCACAGGAATCTCATCACCACCACCTGTGTGGCTCCCAGCAGACATTTTATCCTGTTCCTAGAATTTTATTTCTGCAATGCTCCTGGCTGTTTTAGCTGCCAGGCCTGCCTACCCAGCTGCAGAGTGAACCTGCAGCTGCAATGAGCACAGTGCATGCAGCCAACACTCTCTCCCTTCTAAGGTGGATTCTGTCACCTATTTGCCTGTTTGATTTCACAGCTGCCGCAGGCAAAGTGTCAGCTTGCAACAGGCTGTGGGGACAGGTTTTTGAGCCCCAACACAATTCCCAGCTTCTGCAGACCTCACTTTGTGGGAGGCCAGCCCACATGGAGGGAAGGGGTCGGGACTGGCTGTAGAGTGGGGGGCATGGGGGACCATCACAAGCCCGATGCTGTTTCAGCAGCGAGGCAGGGGACAGATATAGTGGGGGGCTGACACCATACATCCCCTAATGCTTTGTGCAAAAAGAATCAAGTGACAAATGTAGGGCAGGGGGGTGGAGTGCGACCCCCCCTCTTTCCAAGCTGATCCTGTGCCATGGGATGTCGGGGTATGGCAGCTGAGCCAGGCTTAGCTGCCTCCCGGGATTTAGTGTCACTGCAGCAGCATGGCCAGAAATTAGCACAGGGCTGAGGATTTTCTTTTGGCAGATGCCAGAAGAACTGGAGTGGCTCAGGGAAGAAAAATGATGAAGGGTTCTTTCCTCTCCACCCATTTCTTCAATGGGAAAATGAAGTCTTATCATTTAGAAATGGGAATTTTGATTTCCAGCGGTATATAGGAAACGGGAGGCAGAGGCAATGCTCATAAAAAGCCAACCTGCACCCTTAACGTGCTTGTTCTTTGTGCAGCGATGATTGCCCTGCTGGTGGCGTGAAGATCTATGTTTCCAATTGTAAAGGGCCCACGGCCATCGGGGACCCGACAATATTCTTATCAGCAACAGACGGTACAGTTACTGAAAATCCTCTCCAGTAATGACCGATTTTGCTGTGCTGCGGCGGAAAGAGGATGAGCACAGAATTCACACCCAAAGTAGGGCTTTTAATTATTCAAGGCTCCATATTCTCCAGAGCTATGCAAACCCGAATCACTTGCTCTGTAGATCCCCGATGCCGAAAACCTGCATAGCTGAATGAAGCCAAGGTCGCTGTGACCTTCCTCCCCCTTCCCGAGGCTGCACAGGGAAGGCTGAACCCTTTCACTTTCGTCTGGAGCCCCGGGGCTCCTCTCGGGTGGCTCCCCGGAGCCGTCGGTGTGCCGGGCGCGCTCGCCGGGGTTCACCTGCCACCTAGCGGGGTTTCCCCATCGCTGCGGCTGCCTCGCGTTATCCCTCTGCCGGGCGGGCGGGCAGGCGGCAGAGCGCGGGGAGGCGTGAGCCGCGGGAAGCCGCGCTGGGAGCGGGTGCCCGCCGGGGCTGCGGCCGTGTTCCCATACAGGGCGTGTGCCGGCGCACCGAGAAGGGGCTGTGTCTTTTGGGATGGGAGGGGAATAGTGGGAAACGGAGAGGGTGTGCAGTGACCGAGGGGAGTGCGAGTTCAGGGGTAGGGGGCACGGAGGGGGCGCATTACCAGGGGGCTGTACCCGGGATTGCTCGTGCTGGCGGGGTCTGCGCACGGACGGAGAGGCTCGGGGACGGGCGCCCACGGAGCGGGGTGCGGGCACCGGTGTGCGTGTCCGTGTGCGGGTATTCCCGGGGGAGTGGGAGGCGTGCAGCCCCAGGAGCCGGACGGGGCGGCCGCGCAGGGCCGGTACCGAGGGCGGTGCCTCCCGGCGGGGCGGGCGGAGCGCAGCGAGCACCGCCTCCCCGGGGCCGCGGGGCGGGCCGGGCCTCCCGCTCGGGCCTTGCGTGCTCGGGCCTGGCCGCGCCGGGAGAAGCGGCGATGGAGGCGGCGGGCGGCGGCGGAGCGGCGGGCAGCATCGCCCTGCACGACTTCAGCGGGCAGCTGGGCGAGCAGCGGGTGCACTTCCACGCCATGCGGCTGCGGGACTCGCTCTTCCTCTGGGTGGGCGCCGCGCCCGCCCTGGCCAGCCTGGCCGTCGCCATGTGCAGCCCCCGTGTGAGTGTCGCCCGTCCCCGGAGCCCCGCGGCGCTGAGGGCCGGCCCCGCCGCCTGCACCCCGCGCCGCCGGGACTAAGCCGTGCCCTGTGCTGTGCTCCGCTTGCAGGACAGCATCCCGGTGGCCGCCTCGCTCCTGGGGGACCCCTCGGACACCGCCTCCTCCTGCCTGGCGCAGCGCTTGGGTAGGTGCGGGGGCGCGCTGCGGGGGCCGCCTCCCGCCGGGAACGCGCGGGTCGGGAGCGCGCCGGGCCTCTCTGGGGGCCCTGAGCCGCCAGCCCGGCCCGGGGGGCGCAGGGACACGGTGCTCGCTGCCCCGGCCGCAGAGCCGGCACTGCTGCGGGTTCCGGCAGCTCTCATGCAATCCACCGGGTCACTTTAATTTTCCCGTCCGTGTACGAGTCTGCGGTACCTGAGTCAGCGGCCTTGGGCACGCTGTGCACTACCAGAAATGCATTATTTGCTGTCCTTATCCTGGCTTTGAGTGCGAGGCAGGGGCAGCACATGCTGCACCTGTCGAGTGGGGTTTCAAGTGACCTGCTCTCTGTAAAGCTGTGACACTGCTGTGCTGGTGGGCGAGGTGGCCGTCATGTCAGGCATGTGCATTTCACCTGAGGATGAAGCCACATCACATCTCGCACCTTTTAGCCCCCACATTCCAAGTTCTGGCCTGGGAAGCCCAGGATTGTCTCACAGATGACCCAAATAGGCACTGCTCAGGATGCTTCCTTTTCCCTCATGTGCAGTAGCTGAAATCCTGCATCTTAATGGCAGCTTGCAAACTCCCATGTCCATACTAAAAAGATGAAGAATACACGGCCTGGTACATCCTAGCACCTTCTCAGCTCTGAGAGCTGTGTCATGCTGGTTACTCATCATCACCCACCAGTGGCTGATGCAGCTCCTACTGGTGAACTGCTGCGGTGCTTGTTACCAAGCTTTAAAAGCAGCATGCTGAGCTGCTCAGTGTCACCTTACTCCCTCTGTTTCAGATGGAAAGGCCGAAGAATTATTAATGATCTGTGTGCTGACCTCCATTTCAGACAGTATGTCCTGAATTTGTATTGTCAGGCACTTTCATCAGTCTGCAACACCTTCTTCTCCATGGGCTTATATAAAAAAGGGTTGCTCACAAGCCTAATCTTTGAAAAATGGTGTTAGCATCTTTTCTTCTTCACAATAACTTCTGTATGAAAGTGAGAGACTGTTTTAGTCGACCCTGGTGGCACAATTTTCTCTACACACCGAGTTCAATCCATTCCACCTCAAGTAATAATTTTATGGGGTACTATATAACACAGCTTCTTTATGTGTAATTAGTGCCTTATGCTTAGGAAGTCAGTAAAAATGTAGTCAGAGAGGATTTATATGGGATAAAGTATAAGAGTTTATTCCACTTTCCATTTGGTCTCCTTGTCACTCATTTCTTCTGAATCTTGCTCTAATCTTCTGTGTAGCATTGCAGCCTGGCTGACAGCTCTAAGTTATCTTAGTGATTGCCATGCTTCTTTTGGGTTTTTTCTTTTTGTATATGTGCTTGCTATCTCTCTTAAAGGATTTATTACATGTCTCATAGCTGAAGTTCATAAGCTGGCGTTGCCATTTCTTCCATTAGCTCTTTCACTGTTCTAGGACAGAGGCTGCCTGAGTCACCTGACTTTTCTGACAACTCCTAGTGAGTTGTCTCAGTTTGGCTGCCTTTTTTTCTTACCCTTTTAAATTTTTTTCTTAAAGCGCTTTTATTATTTGCATTCCTAATTTCCCATGCTTTGTTACTGAGGACTGATACTGTTGCTTGGTACTGGTCTATAGGTTACTCTTTATCCTTGGACTATAATGCACCTTCCTATTTTCTTTTTCTTTGAGTGCTTTAGGTGTCTTTTGTTATTTCATCTTAAACTTCTGAGCCAGATGTGGCCCAGCTACATTTTGGTCCACGTTCCTCTGTATCCATGACATCTACCCACTGGGTTACAGGTTTCCTTGCCAGTCAGCTCCTTTCATATTATTTTTATGTACTGTTCTTGCTTGTGTGATCCTGGTTAAAGTATATTATTTTGAAAATTACTTTCCCCTTTGAACCAAAGGTAAAAAAGATCTATAAGTCTATCATACACTTATGGCTTTGAATAACTGTGCTTGCTCTTTACCTGAGCTTCAGGGAAAAGAAATACATCCTTTTGAAATCTCACATCATAGTCTTTAGGCTGGCTTTCACAGTCCAGCAATTTAGGTCAACTCATGGTCACTTAGTCCAAATTTATTTATTTATTCATCTATTTTTAAAAATTTATTTACCCTGAGGCCAGTGGATCTGCAAGATCATCAACAAGCATCCCTTATCTTTGTTTCACAAAGTGCTTGCTAAGGAAATCTGTGCTCCACCTCAGCTAGAAATACCCATCTTTGCTGTCGTTGGTGTTTAGTTTTTCTCTGGGAATTTAAATCCCTGTTACACCCACACAATCTGTAATAGCAGAAATGCTATTCACAGCCAAGTCTGACTTGCAGTTAAAAGGCTTGCAAGGTAAAAAAAGGTAGCCTTTTAAACCATCCTGACATGTGGTAACCTTCAGGCAGGCAGTTTTTCTCTCCTTTCCTCCCCCCACCATTTTTTTCTGAGCAGTTTCTTGTCTCCACAGGCACTAGCAGGAGCAGCATGCAGTGCCATTTGCACATAACCATTTCTGCAATGCCAGGTTTCCTGCCCTGGAGCAGGAGTTTCAGTGCTGCTGTGCATCACGTTGCACACATTCTCATTTTGTTTCCTGGACAGTTTGGTAGAGGTCCTAGCCACAACTGCTGCATTTCATGTGTTAGCTCTATCTCCTTCCTTATTTCTGACTTTTTTCTGTTGCTGAAGACACTGTACTTCATTCTTAGTCCTCTTTCTACATATATCTATATCTGCTTTTGTGAGGTGCAGGGACTGTTTCCCACCACCCTGGCTGATTGCTTTGGCACAAGATATGTCTCACTAAACCTGAATCCTGAGAAAGTTTCCTGTAGGATACTGGAGGCCAATTCTTGAGGAAGTCCTTGCCCATTAGTGCCTCTCTCATGTGCATATCCTGAAATCACAGTGCTTTGGGCTGCAGTACTGATTAGTGCCATGTCTTCAATCATCCTTGTGTAGGGACTGGCAGACTTTTGGTGAAAATCACCTCAATCTTTTCTTTCAGTATTTCTCAGCTGGGCACTGGTCACTTTGATCACCTCTTTTCCAGCATAAATAGTCTACAAACTCACATCTAACATTTGTCCTGCCTCTTCTGCTCCCGCTGGGCTCCTCTTCAAGCTTTGGTTTGGGCCTTTACTCAGTACATGAAGTTGTAGGAGCAGATCTGTGCTGCTGTAGTTTCTCCTGGCACTCAGCACGTCCCGGCCGATGGCTGTCAAGGATGATTTTCCTCCACTTTGAAGAGCCAGTGCAACAGGGGTTATTACCCAGGCTGCATGGGAAGCAGACCTGCTGGAGGGCTTTTTAGGTAAGCCTTGTCCTTTGCAGTTTTCTGCTTTACTCTGAAGCTGCAGATGGTCTTCCACAGAGGCACGAGATGTGCCCTCTTTTGTCCTTTCCGCAGGAGTGCACACGTCCAGCTGAATCGTCAGGAAGCAGGGACAGAAAAGGTCCCCCTGCCCCTCAGAGCTGGGCCAGAGCCCTGGGAGCAGCGGTCCTTGGCACAAGCAGCCCAGAGAGACTCCCAGATTCACCCTGTTCCTGGGAACTGGAGCAGCATCCCAGAGACTCTATAGGCAAACATAATTAACAAGTTGAGTTTTGACACTACAGTGCACTCTGTAGTTTTGTTAGCTCAGATAACGGCATTAATTAGTTCAGAATTAGCATTGCATTCATTTAGGGCATGATGATGAAGCACTAGTGCTTACAAAACATGCTGCTTTGTACCACAAAAATCTAGTGCCAGGCGCTAATTTTTGCAATCAGAGCACCACGCTACATTATCTCAGCATTTTGTAGTGCCAAGTCTTAAAAGGCAAATGAATCCTTGCATTTCAGAAGCAGCTCTACTTACTGAGTCAGGAAGCTGGTAACCTGTTAGGATAGAAAATAATTAAAAAATTATTTGCATAATGAAAATGCCTTAAAGGAGTTGTTTAACTACATTTTATACATACATATATATGGGTTTCTATATTTAACTATTTTGTTTCCTAGTTAGAAAGGATTAAAATATTAGAATTCTGAGTGTCTCTATTTTGCAGTGTGTTAAAAATTCAGATGACATTTTTGAATATTCAGCAGAACAGTCTGATTTGTGTCTGGGGTCATTAGCTCCCAGCTCATTACTGGACAAGAATATCTCTGACCCAAATACTATTTTTTGTCTTCTATTTTACACAACACAATTTAAATTTAGTGCCTATTTTCCCTGTATATGCTTACATTTTTCAAAAAGTTTAGCTTCAATAATATATAAGAAGAGCCAAAAAATTGCTATATTACTGTGGTAAAATCTAAGTATTTTATTTATAAAACAGTTCTTGGTGTTTTCTCTTCTACTCTGATAATTAAGTCTTCTTGTCCCACTGGACAGTTTTTTTGTCACTCTTAATTAGCTCTGTCATGGAAGTCAGCTCTTAATTTTGTAGCACCTCTCTCTAGGTACTTGTCATTACAGTAGCCTGGAACTTTTGCTTGGCTTCATCATGTTCAGCAAAGGCTCTCCAGCCTCTAGGAGCATTCATGGACACTGTATGAAAAAAGGTTAATGGAAACAAAATTGATAGCAAGCTTAGACAGAACTGGTGCATCCTTTTTGGGGCCTTTTAAGGCTTATGAACCTTTTAAGGTTCATTAAAAAACCAGAACTTAATTAATTTAGGCCCAATGACTTTCTTGAGCACTTTCCCTCTAATGTTTTACACAGCACAGATTTACAAACTCTGAATTTCAGTGCTAAGAGTCCAGTACAGTCTGTAGTATCACTTACAATGTAAGATATTTAAGATGTGTCCAAAAATCCACTACAAGCTCTGCAAGGCTCTCCAGTGGCTAGTGGTGTCTTGTGTCAGGTCAAAAGCTAGTTGACAGTCACCAGTCTTATATCGCTCACTTTTGTGATGTCCAAAATCTTGCCCAACTCCCCAGTGGTCAGGGACTTTTCTGCTTTTCATTTATAACTGCACCCAGCACAGCAAGAGTGGAGAACATCTTAGAAATCTGCATGATGTGGCTTTTTTAGAGGCTTGCTCAAATACCATAATCACTTTTATATAAAAGTAAACTCTGGCTGACTACTCTGTTTTGTGTTTTAGCCAGCAAGACCAAAAAGCAGATATTTGTCAGCTACAATCTTCAAAATACAGACAGCAATTTCACCTTACTCATAGAAAACAGGATCAAAGAAGAAATGACAGCTTTTCCAGACAAGTTCTGATTGTGCATCATTGTAAAAGAAGATGAAGGTTTTGTTTCAGAAAAACTTACTGCAATTTTCACACTGACATTAAGTTAGTATATTTCTTTTGTATTGTTTTGATTGAATTTGTGGTTGTTATTAAATATAGATACACTTGACTAGGATTTTCTTTTTTTTTCAAATAGAATTTGAATTTTCAAAGCAAAATTTTTTTTTGCTACCCTGCCAAGTAGGATAGCAAATGGATGCTTCAATGGATGAACATGACTGAAAAAGTTCATGTGGTGTGTGGCCTCCACACAGTACTGGGATCTGATGGCAAATCAGTTCCAAATGCTATCTGTACAATTAATCTATTGTGTACTAGCACTGAACATAGTATAGCAGCTTTTAGCGTTCAAATAAAGAAACCCCACATTTTTGTATGGTAAAGCTGTGACATGAGTGTTACTTTTGTCTCTCTTGGTTATAGTACTGGTGCTAAAGAGTTGATTTCCTCCCTTGGGCACTCAGAACACAAGAAGGATTTCACAAAGGGTTATTTATGCATCTCTGAGGACTACATAGAAGGAAAAAGCACAAGCCAAGTTCTGGAGCAATAGATAAAGCTGTCAGGCTGCTAGAAGAGCATCACATGTAAATTGAGCATATACATAAAATCAGAGAGGTCTACTACTGTGACCACCAGTGAAAAGCATCCTGCTGCTACATCTCTGGGATTACTTTCAGGTAGGATGGGTATCTTTTAATAGGGCATTGGCTGTTTTGTTTATGAGATGGCAGCCAGGAATTAACTATCTGGGTTTTGGTGGTTTTTTTCTTTCATTCCGAGTTGAGCCCTGACTCATGCTAAAGCATCAGCTTCTGATAAAAACCTAAACTAAACTGCTGGTGCTGCTTCCAGATACCTGCTGTCCTAAGCACCTACAGAAAAGTGATGGATTTACCTTGCTGTGGTGCCACAATCAGCAATTAAAACCTGTAACTGAGAGGCTGCTGCTGTAGGAGGCACAGCTGCTGAGTCTCTTGTCCAAAACAGTTTCAACACGCAGTGGCTTCAATGTCTCAGATTTGGTGTGGGTGCAGAGGGCCCCTCCTTACCTGGTAGGAACAGCTGCCTGTCCTTGGCTGCAGTTCAAGATCAGAATAGCAAAAAGCAACTGTTGAAGGGTATTTTCTTTTCAATTTACACCACTGAGGAAACAGAGTCAACTATGCTTCTGTAATTGACTGTAAAGGATAATTACTTGCAAATCAATGTGCTGTTTTAATTAGCCTGATTTACAAACAGCTCATTCTGTTTGTAGAGCAGGGTAGGGCTATTTGCTGAGGCATCAGCTGCTGCTGGGTATTTGAGAAGTCACTGCAAGGGAGCCAGACCAGGGAGAGCAAACTGATGGGACAACATCATTTTATTCTGTACATTTACATACAAAGTTCTTCTCAGTAGGTACAACAGATGTAACATCATGCAGACATTTAGCTTGTAAGACTGTTTTCAGTACTTGATTTAAGCTTGTGCTATGAGGAAGCACCACCAGACTATTCATGATCAAAACATACAGTAACACGATTCTTTAAAACTTCATCAGAAACTGAAATGGGGAGGGAGATCTCGCCCACTAGACAAAACACACCGTACTCCTTTCCCAAAACATTTTACACAACACATTTAAAATGAGGTTTGTAATTTCATTTTTTTCTTAAAAAATAAAATAAAAAAAAGTTACAGGGGGGAGATCATCCCCCCACTCAATAGTGTTGTCTTATGTGCCAGCTACAGGCGCAACTTGACATTCACAGAGTTCAGTTAATGGCACTTCTGCTTCCAATTTGGTGACCAGTAAAGTGTTTGTCTCCAGGAAGTGGCAACAGTTAGGTAAAATACTTCCACTAAAAAGGACGACAACAAAAAAAGCCTGCTCAGTGAAACCCAAAAGTAAATCACACAACCCTCTTTCAGAGTGGCCACAAACCACTTGCAAACAGGTGTTATCTGTTTGCAGTGTGTCTCGCAACAAAAGCAGTACTGAAATCTTACAAAGGGGGACAAAACCCCCAAGATCAAGCATAATGTCACTTCACATTTTTGTTTGAACTTACAAAGATGGAGAAAGCCCTTAAAGGGTAAACCCAAAGAAAAATCTACTAATGGGCTTAGAGGTTACTGAAGATTCACAGAAAAAGGCCAAAAATGGACAGGACAGCTTTGGACTGCTTCCCCTGTTGTGGTGGCCAGAAAGAGTCGCCTGAGAAAAGCCTTTCCTGGTGATGGCTGCAGAGGAGATGTGGCCAAGGAGCCAATAGTGCAGCAGGCTGGGACCCAGCAGAGAGCCCTGTCCTGCTGCAGGACTAGACAAGGCAGGGCAAGCATCCCCATGCTTCCTTTCTGCCCTGCTGCATCACCTGGTACTTGGCTCCTCCACACAGGATAGGTTTAGTGAAAGCTTTCCAACTCCATGAGCATGTGTGGAAAAACATAATCATCACAGAAGTGTTCATGTTTTCAGGAAAAGGAGCAAAACTGGAACTGCCAAGGCAGGAAGTTAGTTTTTGCTTTATTGTTGTGACAGAGGCAAAGGGCCAGACTGACTAGAGAAGCTGGGGCTCCCTTCATTGCAGATCAGTACCGACTACCTGGTTTCAAGCAAAAAAGCAGCAAATCAAATCAACTTCCTAAGATTTTTTTCTTAACAAAAGAAAAACCAACAAAAAAAATTGCTGCATGTTCCTGTCACCTAATGTATTTACTATCTAGATGCTGATATGTTTAAACAAGTATTCTTTTCCCTGTGCCTGTCATCGGAGAGCAACCACCAGAATAGGAACGGCTAAAGTGCTGTGGGCAGCAGCGGTGAGCTCGCCGGGAGCACTGGCAGTGCTGGAAGCAGCCGGGTTCACAGGCCTGGATGCTCTGCAAGAGCTGTACTGCAGCTTGAGCACATGGGCCGCCAAGGAGACCATGAGGGAAGGAGCCCCTGGCTCCACAGCATGATGGATGGCAGGGCGCTGCTTTCTGCCTCTGTGCTCACACCTTCTCCTCTCCCAGGCCCTTTGTCTCTTCCCTGAAGCCTTGTTTTGCTTCTTCAGCTTTTTGTCACGAACCCATTTCTTTCATCCCCGAATGTGTGTGGCTTGCAACAAGCATCTCGCATCGAAGGCAAAAGGTATTGCACAAATTTGGTGTGTGAATACTGCACGAGTGGGGAAGGGCTGGGTTCTTTCCTCAGGTGAACACAGACTGCAAAGGTCTCAGCACAGAACAAAAAGAAGCAGCCGCACTCAAGCCTGACAATAAAACTCAAGTGTAAGGAAGATCAGGCTCTTGCTGTCACAGCAAGTTTAGCAAGGGTGAAAAAAAACCAGTAGTGTAACTCTGGGCAAAACTACCATCAACTGGTCCAGTGTTTCTTACCAGGCTCAAGAAGAACCCAAATGTCCACATCATCCTCTGTAAAAATTAGCAGCTTTAGGACAACATTGTTACTCTGGATGCAACCACCTCTGTTGCTTCTGCAGGTCTGCCTGTCCCCTTGCATCCGTCAGCATCTGAGGCTGTGCTACCTTACTGCATGGCCTGCTGGGGAGCGTGGATCTCTGATTTATTGGGAGCTGTAAGAGGACATTGGCAGCCTAATGGAGGATGGAAATTGTTAGGTACAGTAGTTAATCGACAATATATACAGCAAGGGAGGAAAGGGGAGGGAAGGTACAGGAGGAGAGTGCAAACGAGCACTTTTCCTGCCTCTGAACGCAAGATGTACATCAAACAAAGTGGCAATCATACAGACAGTCAGTACAACATTGACATCCTGCTGCTCTGCTTGAACGTCTGCACTATCGAGCAATCACAAATGAATGGCCTGAGGGAGGAAGGAGAACAGGGAGGGAGAGAGGAGAGAGTTAACTACAATGCAAGAAAGCTGTTTACAGAGTCCTTGCATTGAACTAGATCCTCACAATATTCTCTTGAGTGAGAACCAAAAGCCAATGGCCTAAGGAAATAATTTGGGGCTGGAGGAGAGAAGTCAAGTGGCCACTATCAAAGTGCCATCTGCACAGCAGGAGGTAAACTGGATGTTCGCTTTGTGTAGAATTAATCAAATTTTTCCTGAACTTTTTTTTCCTGAACTAAAATCTTACAAGAGCAGTCAGGAAAGTGAGGAAATAAGGGTGAATTCATTGTATATTCTTGGGTCAGAACCAGAACACATCTCTAAGGGCGCAAGACAGCTCAGTAAGTCATTATTCACAGGCTATCAATTAATTCCTTTCCAACAGTTATTTAAGCAGTTTTCCCACTTGAATTGAAAACCCAAACCCTGGCTCTAAAAACATTTAGGACAATAAATACCAGGACACTCATTTCCCAGGAGCAGATATCCCAGCTATGCTGCCTTTTGGAATAAAGGTAGATGATTAAATATATAGATAATTTCCCATGCTCCTTACTATTTATCACTGCTGGTCTATGCTTTTTTCCTGGAGCAGTCAGAGATCCTAGGCCTCCTGATAATTACAACCATTCTAGACAAAACTCATTTTTGCATCATTAGTCAAATTATTTGCATCATCTACATTACTATTAAGGACCGGTGGCAACCACCTAAAATAGATTAATATATTCTTAAAATGCAGAAAGCTGATTCTCATTGAAAAATCAGCTTGGTGGGGTAGGATTTTCTCCAATGCATTCAGTGAAAACAAAAAAGGACTAATTTAGAAAGTAATTTTAAGTGCACATGGGTTATAAAGACAAATATAAGCTGCCTAAAATGCAGTCAGAGTTTGAGTCACAACAGGTTTTGCTTTGCTTTTTCTTTTTCTTTTTTTTTTTTTTTACTGTATACAAACACAGCAGGCAATCTGGGCACTTGGACTTTCTAGACAGGCAGAAGAATGTTGCACAAGTCTAAGTCAATTCAACTTTGCAGTGAATCCCTCTTTCCTTTAAAGAAACACAAAAACAAAACAGAAAACAACACTCCCCCTCCCCCCATGGTTTCTTTCTTGGAATGGCTGCACCTCTTAAAAGATGGCTTCATTTCTGTGATCTATGAAGGGAAAAGGAAATAAAGTGCTTCTTGAGAATAAATCAAAATAAATATACATATTTAATGGCAGGAAAAAAAGAGTTCTGAAGGGCTACTGCCAGCCAGGTCTTTTCTCAAATGAGTCTTTTCCCCCAAAACTTTTCAAAAGTAATCTGCATGACTGTTGAAGATGCCAAAATTTGCTTTAGTAGCAGAGTTGAATTCCTCTAAGTTTGTGTCTGCTCCATCACTGGTTTGTAAAATCTGTGCAAAACACCTTTGCCCAAAGTACAACTCCTCCCGCACAACAGCATCAAATAAAATACAAAAGGAAGAGAAGAAATATAAGACGGGGAAATAAAATAATTAAAAAAAAAAAAAAGGAGAAGGGAAAAAATC